CTTCAGAAAACTGACTATTCACATGTTGATGGCCAGGAAAACAGTAATTATCACAATGAGGATATTTTAGAAAATAGGACAATGTTTATGTTCCTGAAAACTATCATAAATCTAAACATAATAGAAAATGCCATCAACAATGAATAAAGTCTAATCTTCGTAATTCACCAAAATAACAATCAACACCCCTTCAGAATTTTTTCATGTTCCAAGGATGCCTGTTTCCAAGGAAATTGATGTTAGTTCAGCTCTAAGAAATCAATGATGAGCTACTGTTGTGAAGGCCTAGTTCCAAGGCCAGTGATGACCAGAGAACCACTGTATGGCTGGCACCCCCTGGGTCTTCTTGCTGGTGTTATTACCGTGTGCCAGGTGTGACCCAAGGTGTGGGCACCTGTCTCTCATCCAGCACAGCTGAAGATGGCGCCACAGATTACAGCTGATCAATATATGCACAACACTGCAACATATGCATCAAGCTGATTGCGACACCTCACTTCAGACTTGTGATTGCGAGTTGGAATTAGTCCTGGGGGTGCTGAAATGGGTTCATGTCTAGATTGTCTTGTGCGTACGTGTCATGCACTGTGTGCCGCATGTAGGGCACAATGGTAGAAAATCACTCATTGGTGTTTATGACAGATGCCTCAAGGCCTATGAAAATTTCAGTTTAACCTACCCATTCCTTATTATCAAATTGTGTTTGAAATGAATCATGAAAGTCAAGGGGTTTGTCATAACCCAACTTTTAATGTTAAATCATGGGGTTCTGAGATCCAAATACTTTGGGAGAAAACCTCAAAACAAACAGACCCCATACTTTTTATATATATAATACATTTTTTGATATTTATTTATTCTATTAATTCTATTTCAAATGTATAGGATAATATAAGTCTTATATGCCTGCACAGAAACACAATCCTGGACATCCTGGAAGGTCATGTGGTGATATATATTGTGATATAACTACAAGGGCTTTGATAATACTTGTGAGACTACTCACAATTACCGATTTTAAGTTAACAAAAAAAAGGAGTACTGGTAGTCAAACCAGTTGTTGACTGTAAAAGCATCCATGGCATCAAGAAACAATGAGCCAGGTTACACATTATAACCATTTTAAATATAGTTTTGATGACAAACACATGTACGATAGAGATATCCTGTGAAATCTTCTTTGGAGAGCAAAAATAGAAATCAACCTGGGTGGGCAATTCATATTGTTAGCCACTGTACAATACCATGCGTTAATCAAACTAGTCCATAATTCATTCCAATTTGTTTGTTTTGTTGGTTTGTTGTTTAACACCGCACTCAACAATATTCCAGCTATATGACAGGGGTCTGTAAATAATCGAGTCTGGACCAGACAATCCAGTGATTGATGTCATGAGCATCGATCCACGCAATTTTGATACGATGGCATGCATTAACTAAGTCAGCAAGCCTGACCACCCGATCCCGATCTCTTACGACAAGCATAGTCGCCTAATCTACTCCGGATCTTTACGGGTCAAATTCCTTCTGGATATCCTGTACGTGAAAAACAGGGCAGTAGAGATAAGGGAAATTATAATATAAGCAAACATGTTGCAGTAACATTTTTCTTAAACATATAAAACGCCTATCAAAAACACAAGCAGCGTGATCACAAAGATATCCCTACCAAGTTCTGGAGGGAACACATTGTTAGTGTAGAACAGTTTGACCATAAGGATCAATGGCAATGTTCACACTGGTTGCTGGGTTACCTGTAAAGTCACCAAAGAACATGAAACTATACAAAATACACTACTGAAAGAAGAAAACACTATAGTATACTTAGAATATTTAATATTTTTGAAATGATTTCAAAGTGTAAACATTCACTTTTTATGCTACATTACCCATCAACTTTTCACTCATTTGGACGAAACAATCCTCAGCCTTATAAAACATTTGTCAACATGACTCAACATTAACCCACAAACATTATATGTTGCACTATTTGAATTATTTTTGTAGATGAACATGACCTCAACACCAACTGTCATCACGTTCTGCAATACTTCATGATGTCGGCTCCCCGATGACATAGATAACAGACTAACATATGGAGACATCCTTCAATAACAACTGTACAGTAATTACTGTAACGCTCAGATCAATAGTGACATTAATTTTGTTGTATTGCAAACGCTGATTCAATGATATTCAGAATACCATCAGGTACATAAAATCAAAAATTTCTATAAAAAAATAAAATGAAAATCACAAGATTTTGATCAATTTTGGGTTAGCCATAAATACATTTTTAAAGATTAAATGTTTGTTGATTTGACCATAACAGCATCATTCTTCAGTGACTCAATGCAAAATTGAATATGACATTAGCTGCAATAAATAATTGCCTTTGCAATTTCCATTGATTGGTTCTTTAAGAACATAACCTTAAGAATGACATAAAAGCAGATCTTGCTGATACTGATATTTCATATCAACTCTTTTTGAAATATTCATCTTGTGGTTTCAGTGGTTTCTACCTTATGAATATGTTATTGCAACAGAAAGCCTATAACATTCTCATAAAGAGCCATATTCCCGAGTGCGTAGCACATCACACATGTCCATGACAGCAAGAGTGCAGATTTCACTGCTGCCACTTCACTCACAGGACCATAAATCCTGTAGACAACTTCATGTGAATTACATAAGCAACAGTCTGTTCACAGCACAGCAGAAAATTACCACAACTCCACTAAGCCCACCCCCATCTTGTCAACATGCATCATGGTCCTTCACTTCACCAAATTCCACCAGATGTACCCTGATGGCATAAGATGAGTATCTTGCATGCATCAGGGAAACATGCTGACAGCTTTGCACCCAAAAATATCATGATTTACATTTTTCAGAGCAGTTAAAACTTTAGCTCCTGCTGAATGCCATCGGAAGTAGAGACGACATATGATAACTTGCTGCGATTCCTTGCTTAAAAATTAATGATTTCTTGCTTTTGATAATTATTTATGTTGCATTATGAAACCTAAGCATTTCTATGAAACTGATCCATACGAGAATAACCTGATACAGAACAATCACCCTCATTTTTGGATTGGCATGGCAATAGTTTCTTGTGAGAAGCCTTACAGGGTGTCCTCATTCAATGTTCAGTATCAAGCTGAGATATGGGCCTGTGGACGTGAAGAGGGATTAATTGATTCTTGGTTGAGGAATAGAATCAAAATAGTCAACTTCAGTCACTAACAATTCCCACTGTGTAATGGACTCAGTTTTCCAAGAGCTGGAGGAGGTATTGATCACATCAATTGTAACACCAATATCACAGAATTCATTTACTGCAGTGCATGTGGAGCCCGTCTGGCTGTGTGATATGATGCACAGATAATGCACAGATGCTGCACGGAACAACCTTGGCATGTTTTCTAATTAAGTCTTGGGACAATTATTTCTCATCTGTCTTTCGAAACATGAAAAACAACAAAATAATTACAACAGCATGTGCTTCTCTGAACAAAAATACAAAACAAGTCACATCAAAGTCAAGCCTATTCAAGACATGGCCAAAACTGGACACAGAAACACTAACATGTGAGCAGACAAAGCTTCCTTTCAACCAATAAATAAAAAGAATTAGTTCATGAAGTCCAGCACATTCCTTTCCCTTTGGCTTCCTTAACTACAGAGAGATCTTCCACTCTGTTCCTTAATCTTGTTAAGTGTAATTTCATTATTGATTCCAAAACAATTCAAGCCTACTGGCATACACTGAAAAATTCCCTGGTGTGTCCAGAGTGCTGCTAGCAATGTTCAGAGAAGTTGGGAAATAGATTTGGTGGTAGCAATGGAACCATCCCAAAGTCATCATTGCCAGCACATGTTACAAGGTCAGTGAGAACAAGCCCCAGGTTCCCTCTCAATGCTATGGTATAACTCTTCATTAGCGCGGGCTCACGATGGTAATGCTTACAATGGCTGCAGCTACCTCCTCACATAACTGAAGTGGGGTGGGGGACTCATCCACTAAATCAATACGTCATATTCAAAGTAGAATGTTTCCTGTCTCACCCCTTGGGTTCCACTTGTGAAAGCAAACAGTCATGTCATTAGTACCATTATGCATTACACAACCAAAGAGTGGAATTGTACTGGAGCTTGAAGACAAATATTGATATTACTCACGGCATGTCCAGAGCAAAAATTGACACTTTGTTCAACCACAATATTGAACTGACCAGTTTCCAACATTAAGCATGAAAGGCAATGGGTCCTTGTCATGACCTTCTTATAAAATGATAGTGATTGAGTATGGTTTTATGCCGCTTTTAGCAAGACTCTAGTAGCATCACGGCAGAGGACATCAGAAATGGGCTTCACACATGTGGTGACCACACTTTAACCACTAGGCTACCCCTACGGCCCTGTATGCATGGAACTTTATTGAACTAACAAGCATGGGTATGATGCTGACAACCAATAAGTGCAACCTTGGGATTTTAACTTATAATAAGATCATAGCATCATAAAAAGGGACACAACTCTGCATAGGAACTTGAATTGTTGTGACTTATATGTTAGATTGGGCAATCTGAAAAATTATTCGAAATTTAACACAGTAGAAAGAGTGAGAAAAAGAGAGAATATCATGCATTTCATCATATTAAGGTAAACTGACTACTGTCATGAACAATTGTTTGATGGGCATTACTTAGAAGTGTGTCTACTTTGACATGAACAAGTGCCATAATCATACAAATTCATGAGTCATATTAACATCACAAAGTCTGTTTACCTCCAATCACTCTGTCAGTACCAGAATGAGTCGATGAATAAATAAGTGAATGATGTTTTTATCCTCTATTCAATTCAAACAATATCAAGGCAGCCAGTAAATCATTAACTCAGTTCCAGACAATCCAGTGGTTGATAGCATAACCATGGATTGTTTTTCCTCGTACCCTGGAAGATTTGTGTAAGTGTATGTTTTCTCTTCTTACCTTTGCTTTGACCTGTTGCTTTATCCCTTAGCACATTGAGCTGAAAGACTGGACCATACTCCTCAAACAGTTCTCGGAGGTCATTTTCGTCCATTGACCGAGGAATCTGACCCACGAACATTTTTATACAGTCCGGGTCTGGCTCGGTCTTCTGTGTTTGGGAATTCATATTTCTGAAAGACAAGAATAATAATTAAAATGCATCTAATGTAATAATCACTGATCAGTCACAACAAATGTGTGCATTTTTCAATGACGCATTGTGTATAACAATAGCATACACAGCCACCCTGGTAAAAAATCTAATGGTTCATAATTGTAATGGTTTCTTTCATTTTCTTAAGTTTATATAGTACAAAAACATATGATAAATAGTTAATGCAACACATTGTCACGAGTGAGTATGGTTTTACGCCGCTTTTAGCAATATTCCAGCAATATCACGGCGAGGGACACCAGAAATGGGCTTCACACATTGTACTCATGTCGGGAATCGAACCCGTGACTTCGCCGTGACGAACGAACGCTTTAACCACTGGGCTACCCGACCATTGTCATGAAGAAGGGACATATTACCCGAGTCAATACAATATCAGACAATGTCAAACAAATTGTTAAACACTACTTTTTGAAAACATTCATCATCATCATCTTCATCATCATCATCATCCAAATACAACATGATACAAGAAACCTGATATTTGTAACACTATATAGGAGGTAAAATATCAAAGTGATAATATGAATAATTCAGTAGATGACTGTCTTATCATTTGAGGGCTGATAAAATATTCATCCTGTTGATGCCGTGGTAACTAGGCTAATTCAGTCACTAGAATAAGATTTCACTTGAAATATGAACATCTAATGGCTTCAGCAGCTTCCAGCTGCATTTTTTCCTCCACAATATGTCAGGAAAAACGATATCTGGCTTTCTATGTTATATAACCCTTGAATGCAAACAGACGTCACTGTCACTCCTATGTCAGTCATCAGTCAGGTAGATAAAGTTGAGGGAAAACTTCATTTCTGATGAGGAAGTATAACAACTTTTCCCCCACTTAGTGGGAGATAATGAACACATCCTAGTTACGGACAACCTTGCTGGTTCACAGCCACTACACAGAGGAGCGGGCAAACAAGGGGCTGATGAGAAGAGCACCAAAAGACATTTGCCAGGCCTCATTGTTGTTATTTATTTGGTTGCCATGGCAATGGAAATTTCCAATTGGCGACCAATGTGCTTGGCTACTTGGAAAAATCAAGCTGGCAACCTGAAACTTATATTACTAAAATCAGTCCATGACTTTCACCACTTGTCCAAAGCCTGAGTCTAGTAATCTAAGCTAGTACGTCAAATAATGAGAGCAAAATCTACAGAAAATGATGCTCATAGCCATGTATGAGCTAGAGGACTCAATTGTTTTGGCCAGACAGCCAAATGAATGTAATTAAAGATAGAAATGTGATGGATTAACAAATGGTGATCGATTGAATAAAGACTGCATGCCAGGTGTTGTTGACAGCACTGACTGTACCTAAGAACTTGCTGGCAGTAAAGCCACTTTGTAAACCATTATCAGATGTCTCAGCTCTGTTGTATATATACACATCAACTAAATGCTTCCCATGTTTTGACCATTTATTGAATATCAATCGAACTTCCATAGGCTTCTGTTATGATTCATGTGGGTTAAAATAATTAGAATGCTATAATTTATATCATATATTACTGGCTATTATAACCTTGTGGTATTGCTCCTTAAACTTTTCTGTGGTTCCTTGAATTTCATATTGGCTCCCTGAAAAAACATTAAGAAGCCAATGGTTCCTTTAAAAAAATATATACAGTTTGCAGCCTACAAAGTACAACATACCAATTAGATCTAATTGACATGATCAACTGTTAGATCTAACTCCTATTTTACATGCTTAGGAACGAAGCAATATCTACCCAATATTTTTTTATGTGGTCAAACGACATCAAGTCAGAACAGAAACCACTGCTCGTATAAATATGCCAACAGAAAACACAAAGAATTGGTTCACACATTGTACACATGAGTGGAATCAAGGCCAGGCCTTCCGTGTGAATAATATGTCAGTATTTCACAAGAGAAGAACTGTACCTTAGTTTCTTAGTATTAACAAGATGTTACCCTGGAGGCAATGACTATACAAGTTCCTGATTAGAAAACACACCATGAAACCCTATTTGACATTTGTGCATGACATAAAGGTGTAATACACAAAGTTATTCACAGTTCATTGTCAGTCCTATGCCTCAGCAAGCTGTGAAAGCTACCTGATGTGTGAAACAGCACCATACCTACAACCACATACAGTGAAACACACACAACTTGAGAACACAAGCTACAGACCAGTCTTAATACTCTAAAAACATGATAAACTAGAGCTGTAACGATTCACCGATACTTACGATATCATTAATATTTAGGTACAGACGATACTTGAATTGTAAGTTTGTGAGATCGCGATACACTATAAATAGAATAGGTACAGAGAGTTACGGCCTGTTATGGTAATAGCCAAAGTAGTATAGCGCCACTTGTAAGCATGGCTGAACATGAGGATGTGGTGGCAAGAGGATGCCCAACAACTATTACATTTAATGACCATCCCTTCATCTAAAACTGTTCTGTTCTTCGTTGTTGTTTTTAAATGAGTATGGTTTTAAGCCGCTTTAAGCAAAATTCCAGCAATGTCACGGCGAGGGGACACCAGAAATGGGCTTCACACATTGTACCCATGTTGGGAATCAAACCCGGCGTGATGAGCGAACGCTTTAACCACTAGGCTACCCGACCGCCCCTTTTTCTTTATAACAAGTTTTGGTTTTTGAGACAATAAATGTATGAAGCAAGAGGTTATAGAGTTGTGTTTCAGTGATTTCATCATTTCTCAGTATTTGTGTTGGTGTTTCATGATACCAGTGGTTACATCAGTATGTATTATGATATGTATCATATTGCAAGACACCAGGCGATACTCAGATTTACCATAAACACTTAAAATTTGTACATATTGCATCAACAGCAATGCTGTCCTACATACATATTATGATTATGATTTCAACCTTAACTCAGGTCATAAACTGTGACAAGGAAACAGACCAGCAGCTTCTAAATTTAACTTTCAGATATTACATATAATAATTATGATAATTCACATGTATTCATTGATAATATATGTAATTTTATCAGTTTCTGTTCATATTAACATCAGGCCTCAAAGTTTAAACTTTTACCAAGTAGCCATATGGCTACAAGTGTTTTTTTCCAGGTATCCAGTGGTAAAATCAAGAAGTCAAGCCAATATTATAGATAGTCAAAAGCATTTGAAATTATCTGTATCAAATAACTATTATAATACACATAGGCCTATTGATGATTTGAGATTTGCCGAGCGCGCTCCCCCGCCTCGGCCTCGGTTAAACGGCTCATCGTCTATAACGCCCACCAATTATTTGGACCCCATTGGTAGCGCAATAGCGAGCGATCACTGTATGTTCAAGTTACCGCACTAGTATTGAAATTGTACCTTAATGGAAACAGTACTTGAATTTTGTTACTTGTGACTTGAACAATGATGCAATTTATGTTACTAGATTATATAGGTATATCCTCGCTTATCCAATGAGCATAACTAAAATAAAGTACTAATTACATTAATTTTTATGTATTTTGGTTCATTGACGACTTTAGAAGGAATTATTTGCAAGAACAATTATTAGCAGACGTGTTTTCCAATATCAGCTGTTATTTATTTTTGTGACTACAGATGTGTAGCAATAGAATTTAGTCGCCACAAGATATTTTTCTAGGTAGTCATTTGGCTACCTCTGAATTTAGGACAGTAGACAAACTGAAATTTTGGTCGCATTGGCTACCGTTTTAGTCACAACTTTTAGGCCTGAACATTCAGGTTCTTGAAATCAGATATTGATATCTACTGGACAGAATAATACTAAATCAAACCACACAATTCAAATTCCACGTCAACCCATGATACCAATAATACATCTTACTTGCTGACCAGCATTATTTTTTACTCTGCTCAACATTGATTAAGTTACTATGGCAAATTCTATCACAATTTTTAGACCATGTATTTCACAAGCAATCATTACTGCAATCAAAATGAGTGCATGCAATATATCATCACAATGATGAACATGCTAGCATAGCAATATATACTTCACATAACCATGTGTACCAAAATGATTCAATGGTATTGCAGGCCAATCAAATAAGTCTAGCCATTAACTAAATGGTTATTGCTGATTGAAAGGCAATACTTGTAATTGATTGTAGGTATGAAGTCACAAGTACTACTAATGTCGGAATCACTGGCTGTCCGGTTGTTGGTTCATGTGGACAGCTGCTGCATCAGCTGGTATACTAAATCTGCATATCCCTCAATGCACAATAGTTTCAAGACTTCAATAAGGTTCCATCCCTTCGCCACAGTGAATCAACTCAACGAGGATGAACACGACATAAACACATACCGGTACATGTCTAGTAATTTGGAAGAAATATTACCGTTATGATAGCACACTGATTATGCAGATAACCCAGTTTCTGGTATCTTGAAGGGTGCCTTTTTTCATCAACTAACTTTGAGATATCTGTTAAATCAGGTTAAATGTTTCACCACAGGGCATCTTACCTTCCGATTTTACACGACATATTAAACAGCATTTCAACCATCATGATCATGTTTTCTATGTACATGCCTTCAGTATATAAACTCAAACTGCTTAGTAATAACAGATTTATTCATGATGCTGGGGGGGAGCAGGGAAGCAATATCACAATATGACATGTGTCTAATACATTGGTTACGATACCATATGTATCATGATACGCATATTTATGTCAAATCGAGTGGAAACTTCTCGACTATAAATATTTGAGAGCAGGTTCAAAAGGAAAAGCTAGCTGTAAACAGGTTTGTGGAGACTGTTTTAGGAGTAAACTTAAAGCGCTAATTACAACATATTTTGCAATATTTGACCGACAAAAACTCTGTGTTTATGGGGGGGGGGGGGGGGGGATGAGGGGGTTGAAAGGAGGGTAACTGAACGTGCTGTAAGTTATATATTTTAGAAAGTATCGTGTATCGTATCAGCGCATGAAGACACATGATG